GCAGTTCCGTTTTCTGTTTTTGAAGCATCTGTGTATATGTCATTATAATCTAGAGTGATTCATTATTTGATGGAAGTTTTTCTTGATGATTGTTTGGTTCGTTTCGGTTTTATTGAAAAGAATTAATAATGTGTTACTATCTGGTAGCTTTACTGTTCAAGGCGAAGGTGTGATAGTTTCACTTGGGAAGGTGTCTGGAAATTGGAATTGGAGTGTATCTAGGTATCTATTCAGTCTTTCATGGAGTGGAAAATCTGTATTTTCCTTCTGGTTATACACCGTTTTGAATCGGTCGAAAAATACATTTTGGTAAACTGTGATCCTTTAATTAGTAGATATCGTAGCTGCATAACTGAGGCTAAGATATTGAATTCTGTGATATAATGAGGGTTCACCGGTCTTGCAATGCAGGCTAGGTACGGGACTGGAGACATCAAGTTCTCTCAAGACTGATTTTTTAGCTGAGTTATAAACTATACCCGTAGTCAATATTGGATCGTATCAATGCCATATATATATTCTCATCAAGCATATGTAGGCTGTTCCCCAACTTTTGTTTGCCAGCGTTCTCATGAAGTTAATCCCGTTTTGCATATAGTTTCAGTTCTGGCTCATGCTCAGTTTTCCTCCTGGAAAAGATTATACATTTGGTATTATGTGGAGAAAATTGTAGTCCCACTGATTCCAACCAATCTTTAATGGAGTCTAGGGCTCTCTGTAGGTTGCATTGCATCGAGTGGATGTTCTTACCTTTCATAAACCTAACAAGGTCATCTGCGTAGGGTCTTGCATTTACTGGTGGATTGCAGTTGTTTAATATTTGGTTGATCGCTACCTAAAAATAGTGTTACGCTGAGAACAGATCCTTGTGGTAATTCATTCAGTTGGGTTTTCATAGATGAATTTCAAATATTCCAGAAATACATCCCACCGTAATGATTCACATTCCACATATAACACATAGGTGTGACATATGAGACACATGAGCAAAATACTAATATCTTTCTGGATGAATTGGAGGATAGTTCAACACTATACGGTGGATGTGGGAACAATTCGAAGTACAATTCATGAAATTTTGCCATTTGTTGATCGACTTGTGGCACGGTGCGTTGTCTTGATGAAACAAACTGTTTTCTTTTTTTTACGTACAACACAACACAAGCACTAAAGGAAAGTCCTTAAGGCGCTCTAAGAGCGGTATTTTTTCCCATCAAAATGCAGTGTTAAATTTAAAAAACGAAATTGTTTTTGATACACTGTCCAAGTAATGTCACTCTCAGCACAATAACTTTCAAGAGGAAATCTCACAATAAAGTGTGGTTTTTGAAAATACTACCTTTTTAACATTGAATTGCGCCGATTCGAGAATCCTAATAAAAAAGATCGAAACGTTCAAAACTCATTTCTTCGTTCAATTTACAGCAGAGAGTTTTCCATAAACTTAAAGAAATCGTATAATTTGTATCACAAAATAATAAAAATCGAACTCAGTTCCATATTTTCTTGGTACCTTCGGGTTAAGTGAAAGAATATTTTCTGTCGTCTTCACACAACAGAAAATGAATTTTGCCTTTAATTTTTCGTACCTACTAATGGCTGATTAATACACCAAACTTTTACTCTATATTTTACTTTTACTTTAAAAAAATCGTCACAATGGAATTTTACATTCACTACACTCTGACGTAGAAATAAGACGAATGAAGGCTCCTATCGATTAATAATTTCAAAGTAAAGTAAAATATAAAGTTTTATTTGATGGATGGACTGTTTATTAATACCTAAATAAATACTTATTGATTTTTATAATGTGGAAAAACTAAAGATGAGTATTTATCCTTATTATTGCAACCACTTGTTTGTAAATTCAGACCCGATATTACGAGTTTGATAAATGAAATTTTGACTTTAACCTCAAGAATGAAAAGCAAAATTTAAAGTTTAAAGTCGAAATTTCGACTTATGAAGTTTGAATCTCTATGAAAACAATGTGACCCTTGTGCGCATTCGTTATCAACAGTATTTAATGAAGTGATCGAAAATTATACGATTCCATTAATATTCGAAAAGTGTGCAACGATAATTGTAATAATTACAAGTATCTTGTTTAAAATGTTCTTTCATAGGGTTGGTGGAGCTACCGTCCAGTAGATGTCAGGCCGTGTAAGAATATGGTTATGGAATAAACGTCAAATCATAATTTATTCTGCGTTTTGCGTCTTGGTAGTGTGTGGTGTGTGGTTTTCTTCAGCTTCAGCTGTTTGTTTGGGGAGACTCGTGGAGCGTGTGACTCGAAGTTGGTGAAGAAACAATGAATTCGGCCTAAACTGTTGTGTGTTGAAAAATTATTAACTTCGGACATGAGCTTGTGATGTGTTTGTTATTTAGTGTTGTATAATGCACTCTTTATTAATCACTGGACGATTGTTATCCCGAGCACTTTGGAATGGAATCACTAATGTTTCCACTGCAACAGACCCTAGTAGACAGAGAAAAACGGAACCACAATTAGTTTCTGCTGTTTGTGGTTTTTCAAAGAGGAGAAAGATCCAAAGACTGATAAAAGGGCAATTCGGCGACGATGCCTGGTTCACAGCAAAGTACAAAACAGCGGATGTTTTGGGTAAGTTATGGGGAAACCTAACCTAACCTTTGAACACTCGTGACGTTTGTACTGTTATTTTGAAGTTCCAGTTCCATGTGAATAATAGTTATTGCACAATAACAAATGCACATGCCACATGCCCCAAATTATAGTTGTTTTTAATTTGTAAAAATTGTATTTTGCTTTGAATTTAAGTATTATCATGTCATTCCAGACGGTATTTTGATTTTTCTCCAAGGAAAATAAGTTATTAATTTGATATTCTAAAAGTGAATGGCCTAAATAAAATCAAAGGGAAAAAACTTGTGTTCAATTATGTAAATGGTTTTTGTATGTTTTCAACAAAAGAAAACTGCAATGTCCAATGGAAACATCTAAAATAGGTCTGTATTTTTTAATATTGCTATCCTTGATATATCACATTATAATAATTATTTTATATTTGTCAGAAGTAGTAGTATCTAATATCTTGTTTTGATTGGTTTCATGTTGAATATTCAGCTATATTTGAACAGGGATTAAAAATATCTCTTTTTTTCAATAAATGTCTCCCATGACATTTACTGTATTTATCAAAGTGTCAAGCTCTGAAATGGGAATAATGAATTTTGTAAACACAACTATCAGAGCTCTGGGCTAGTTTTGAAGTGTTATGCAATACAGCCCTTTACAAGCCTCTGCAATGAATTTCACATTTATCAATACTTTTATTTTCAAGTCATAATTCAAGACTAATTCTGGACAAATATTGTACTCTATTGGAGCCTAAAATGAGTAAAATTATTGCAAATTCATAATTTTCAAAAAGGAAGAGAATTTCAATTTGGTTATACCATCTCAAAAGTGAAGTTAAAAAAATGGCAAATAGAAAATCAGAGTATAGATATATATGTAATATATTACATTTCCTCCCATTTCCAAATTATTATTTTCAATTTCACCATGTGCATCTGATGTAACCATCCCAGGAGCAAAAAGTTGTTCAATACGGCTAAATAGCCTAAAATGAGCTTAAAATGATGCAAATTCTATATTTTTAATAACGAAAAATTTCAGTTCGGTTATACCAAGCTTAAGGGTAAAGCTAGCAGAACCCACTGATACGATTTTAAAAAAGCATTAGGGGGAGGAACAGGAGCCTAACATGGCGTATCTTGACGATTTTTTTCTGTGGCTAGGTTTTGCTAGCTCAATGTGAAGCTAGTCGAAATAAAAAGAGGAAAAAATTGAGGAATACAGTACAAAATTAACATAAAATTCTGGCCTGTTCAAAGTATATCTGCTTTCAAATAGAAGTTTTTTCTACTGTATATCATGAACTGCTATTAGGAAAGTGAAATATCATTATGATGTACAACTATTTGTCAGTTAGGATAATAAACAGGCCTACCAAGGGGAACGGTATTAAGGCCTAACCATTTTCTCATTTATATTCTCATCTAAAACAATAATATCATTAAAATAGTAAGGCTGGAAGTTGACATTGAGGCTTATAAAGGCACTTTATTGTGCTAATGATACACTTATTTTCACAAGTTCAACTTTTAATGATATGTGTTCTTCTAATATGAGGCCTCAATGCAATATATGGATTGAATTGTGGTTGATAGTAATGTTGCAATTGAGTATCAATGAGAACAAACTATTAAGTTTTCTCCAAAAATCTGTAATCAGTAATATCATGGAGTGTTGTTGGACATCAAAAACTTCTCAACCATGAAGTTTCTATCTTGGTGTCTATTATACAATTATACAAGTAGGTACTTCTTTCGATATGTTATGTGATTCCGCCACAAAGATATTTAATTCTTGAAAACTTCACTGATTTAGTCTATGACAAAGGTAGGTATTTCCATTCATATACACATATATTTTCTCCATTTTTACTGTTTCACAACTCCTAAAAAATAAAATGGGGTTATTCAATTCAACCAGTGCAGAAAAAAATACATTTATTCTTTTGTTTGTGTATGCTATAAAAAATCTACGCACTGAGTACTTGTCTGTGAACTGTGACACACCTTCCTCTAAGTGTCTACTTTACAAGCAGTTATCTAGGAACATTTTTGTTCCCTTATAGAATATTGGTACTACTTGATGTATTGATATTGTTTGAATTGAATAAAACTTGAACATCAGTGTAGTTCATTTGTACATCACTTTCATTTATTTCCAGGTGTGGCAGATGGTGTGGGAGGGTGGAGGGCTTACGGGATCGACCCTGGTGAATTTTCACTTCAGTTGATGAAAATTTGCGAGCGATTAGTTAAATTAGGTCATTTCACCCCCACGAACCCATCAGAACTTTTAGCGAGAAGTTACTATGAACTGTTACATCATAAGAAGTCTATCTTAGGTAAGTGATCTTGGCTGTGGGTATATTTTTTTTTGTTTTGTTACTGTGTGTTTCATGATTTGAATTGTATTTCGAAATATTTGTTGACGGGGAAGATACACTGGATGTTTCTCAATATCCTGCTATAACAATAACAATATCCACAATATTAGGCCATGGTCAAGGGAAACTTGTAGTGCCACCGCGATGAACATCTTCAATGGTATCTGCATTGACTGAGAGGTCTCAGCAACAACTGATTGAAGAGCTCTATACTCATGTTTACTCGTATTCATACTAGTAGGGGGTGGTGGGGGTGAAGTGTCCATGAGAATGCTCACTTATGATCGGTCTGAACTTGTGCTAGGTTGTCTGATTGTTGATAAGTGTGCTGCTGGTGGGATGTCGATCATAGTTGAGAATGACCCTCATTTCCACAAAAAAGGCAATACAAGAATTTCAGTTAAAAATTGATTGAACTAAGTTACTTTATGTTGACAATGTTCATTAGCGTTACACATGAAGTGTAAGTCATGTAAACATGACTATGTTGCATTAGAACGCATATTGAACATACCTTCTCTAGAGGCACGCAGAAAACATAAAGACCTAATTCTCCTATTTATAATTATCAACGGACTGAGTACTAGCCCCGAGTTTCTCTCCAAATTATCTCTACTTGTCTTCAGTCGTTCAACTTATCTATAATTCCAAAGTAGTAGGCACTAAGTTCTCAGAAATGACTGACGTTTTTGCCTTAATCTGTCTCTTGCAGTGGCGTACGGAAATTATACTAAACAGGGGAAAATGATGAAATATATAGAATCACAACCTTGACAACAATGTTTTTGTTTTAATGCAATAATATTTCTGAGAATTTGTTGCCTACTGTTATGGAATTGTACTATAGGCAGTTGCAAATGTTTTCTGTTTCTTTTCACATATTCATTTACTTATGAAACAGCTTCATCCCCAGAACTCTTTGATTAGCTAACTCCTTGAATAACTTTCAATCTTTAATATATCAGTTTTCCGCTTCAAAAACCATATTCTTGACCTAGCTTTTCAATATTTTCAGCTTGGACTGTTGTATTGTGTTAACAGTTACTTGCCTGCAAGAATTCAATTAATTCATATTGTTATATCTTGTGAATTTGTTCTTAATTGATCTATATGTTATCATACTATTTTGTAACCATTGTTTTCATAATTCACTTACAATCCTCTCATCGGATCGACCTGCCCCTGTATATAAATAAATAATTATTTACTTGAAATGTATATAATTATTATTTCATGAAGTAGTACACAGTAACAAACATCTTATTGCAATATCCAATCTACTTAATAATTTATGTCAAGACCGCAGATATCAACAAGTTTTTTTAATCTACTTGAGTGAATATGATTATGTCGGTTCATTTCAAATAAAGTGATATTTTTGAATAAATATTCTGCTCAATTTTTTAAAGGAATCTCCACATGACGTGCCCATTCTATGTCATCAATGATTCTGTGCAGCATATTTTTAGATTATGAAAATCCTTTTCACAAAAGATTCTGTACCCTAATTCAAAACTTCATATTGTATGTTAGAATTGACTGTTGCAGTGATTTTGCATGAATATTAATGGGTAACAATTTTCTTCAATTTATTGCAGTCTAGGAAATTATGTGGATCCCGTGGGAGTTTGCTGTCTAAAGTGAAATAAAATATTTTCGTTTTTAGACAAAATGTAACTTTCAGATCACAATATTCAAAATTGAGAGTTCATTCATTTGATATAATGAGAATTTCAATAATAATGTTGCGCATTTACCTGACTAACAATATGCCGTTGAGAAAGTTCTGAAATTCCGAGCATATCCGGAGATATCCGGAAAAAACAGAAATTTCGAAAAATGGTTTCTATTTTTTCCTGACTTTATTTTTCTAAGGAATCAAAAATGAATTGCACTTCCACATTGCCACTTTTTCCTTGCTACATAATGGTGTTTTCAGATTTGCTATCCGACGTTTCGTCTTCCGACCACCATCACCAACTTTATTTTTTCTTTGGGCGCTACATTGGATTCTTTCTGTTTTGAATAGAATCAGATTCTCTTACCTTTTCAATTATGTATCATGAGTTGTCATTCATTTCGAAAAAAATAAATTCTTATCATAATAGGCTTTGACTTTGATGTTTCAATTTCTTACACTCAATGACATTTTGTTATTGACATTTTTGGCGAAAAATGGCTTTCACGAATGAAGAAATTGATACAAATTTATTACAAATACGATAGAAACAGTGTTAGGACATCGGAAATGTATCCCGAAAGACAACAACCACATCGAACTATTATTGGATCAAAATCTCACCGAGTTTGGTTCGTTTGAGAAGTCCAAGAAAAATACGTGAACAGAATCAACATAAAAAATTTGAAAAATGAGGTGTGTATGAGGTGAATTAGATATTATCAATGAAAATAGAACTTTGAATAAATAACAATAATTAACTAAAATGTGAAGACAAAAGTAAATCGGAGCAAATGCTCAAAATGCTGTTCCTCCTCCTCAACCTTCCGAGTTATCTAACAATGTTGTGTTGAAGGTCCTCAATATTTTGATATTTCCTCTGACCATAAACTCTATTTTTCAGTGTACCCCATAAAAATGTATCCATAACACTCAAGTCTGGAGACCTTGCTGGCCACCTCATCGGCCCATTATTCCCTATCCATTTATCACCAAACCTTTCAGTCAGCTAATTAGATACTGATCTGGTAGTGTGCGGTAGAGCACCATCATGTTGAAACCAGATGTTGTTACAGTTAACCAAAGGTAGATCATCCAAATAGTCTTCGAAAATTCACATTAAAAACAGGGTTTCTCCATTCAGAATTCCCTCAAATAAATGAGGACCCAAAATTCTATCTTTGTAAATTCCTGCCCACACGGTAATACTAAATCGCACTTGTGGTCGAATTTCTGGAAACTGCCTGGGGTTGTTTATGCTCCAAATGTGTTCGTTATTTCGGTTGAATATCCCACAATTCGTAAAAGTGCTTTCATCTGTCCAAATTACATTTTCTAGGAAAAAAGGAAAATCAGGCCAATTACAAAATTCTAATCGCCTTTCGGGATCATCTAGATGATATTTTTGAGATATGTGTATTTTGTAACATTTTAAACCGCTTTATCGAGATGTCTCCAAGCACTTGTATGACAAATATTTATTTCGGAGGAAATTTCACGTGTAGATTTCCCCGGGTTCATATTCATCTGCAAATTATTAATTTACATTGAAAAGGACACAATGTCTAACTTACCTCATACGTACCACATGTATCAAATTTTCTTTAGTTTCCTGGTTCCTTCTGTCTCCGTATTTTTTCCTCGGCTTTTCAAATGAATCAAACTAGGTGAGATTTTGATCCAATAACTTGAACATAGCTCGATGTGGTTGTCTTTCGGGATACATGTTTAAATACATTTCCGATGCCCTGTTTCAATCGTATTTGTAATAAATTTGTATCATATCTCTTTTTTCTTCATTCGTAAAAGGCATTTTTCGCCAAAAATTCAATGACTTGTTCAATAACAAATTGAAAGTCAAAATCAGAAACATCAAAGTCAAAGCCTATTTAATAAGAATTGAGTTTTGTCAATATCTCCAATTTTTCGAAAATGAACGATAAATTATGATACATATTTGAAAAGGTAAAATCTGGTTCTATTCAAAACAGAAAGAATCCAATGTAGCGCCCATAAGAAAAAATTAAGTTGATGATGGTGGCCGGAAGACGAAACGTCGGATAGCAAATCTGAAAAAACCATTATGTAGCAGGGAAAAAGTGGAAGTGTAATTTATTATCGAATTCTTCGAATAAAGCCAGAAAAAAATTAAAACCATTTTCCGAAATTTCTGTGTTTTCCAGATATCTCCGGATATACTCGTAATTTCAGAACTTTTCCAACGGCATATTGATAGTCAGGTAAATGCACAACTTTGCCCAATTTAACCATCTTCGTATCTCTCATAGTTTCCGAGATCCCAATGGTGAGGATCTAAATTCTCTCTGAAGACCTGACGAACGAAAACGGTTTAGCTTTTGATATAAAGTCACTTTCCTGGAAGTTCCACTTTTGTGAGCCATCAACCTTCTCTTAGGGAAGATAAGCCCCGGAAGATTTTTCGCAGCACTTCTTCAAGACACACTGTAAACCTTTTAACTCATTCCCATGAAAGAGTAGATATAGATATAATCTAGTGTGACACCATATACTATACAACTGGTTGGCGAACCACAAAGACCCGAACCCTTAATTGGCACAACTAAGTAGCCTGAAATTGTTCCTACAGAAAGGACTTGAAAGGATACTGATCAAATTTTTTAGATGAATTGATTCATGATGCCTTTCCACTAAACAATTAACAGTAAATATCATTAAATTGACATATTTTCGGATAGTCAACTGGTTCTGGAAGCACTTGGCTCTCATACGAATTAGTACTGAATTGGTAGGATTGGTCTGGATTGGTCAGAATTGGTCTGGATTGGTTTTTGCCTGCAAAGGAAATGTTCTGTGAAGATTATATTTCTCCTAACTATGTCGAAGGCACATCATAAAATACCCCATGCTATAAATCTCTGGAGATAGTTCACCACAAACATGCAGTTCAGTATGATTCACAAAGTGAACTGAAATTTCCTTAAATGTTTAATGGGAAAACTGATCAATACCTGATAAAGTGTTCATCAGAACATAAGAGAGATTCACAAAAATCTATAATCCTAATCCTAAGCATTAAGTGATCAGCATGTTGAAGAACGTTGTCGTACTCTGTTTTTATTAAAAATATTCATTGTTCCTTGTACCATTCAGGTTATTAGAGACTACATATTACATGCCATAGTAAATATAAAACTCTAAATAAATAGTTACACTTAATCTAATATAATCTAAATTTCATTGACTAAACCAATCTCTCTCTCTCTCTCTCTCTAAAATCTGTTTTTCCGTTAATCAGCTG